AGGTCATTATCGAGGCCTCAAAATCCAACTCTTTTGTGTCATATGCAGTGGTAGGCCAATTCTTCTCGGAGGCTGGCGTTCTCCATTCTGATACAAGCAGTTTCACAGAAGCTTATATATACAATTGTGAGGGTCGTCAAGCACATCAAACAGATAAATGTAGAAAAGGCGGTAATATCCACAGATTCCCTAAGTGTGGTACAAGCCCTGAAAACTCTTACAAACACAAAACGCTCATCAGTAGAGATCCGCTTTTTAAATGTGAATCACTGCTTACGTTAAGTGATGTACACAGTTTTCAATGCATATTTAAGGGGATCTGTAGCACCTTTATACCGAGCTAGCAGCTGTGGTTACTACATTCTCGCCATAATTTCTTCATCATGACCTTTTACTATTCCCTTTCACTGCACATTTTTCATGACACTCATGATTTTATTACTTCGATGTTTTTACCCGTGCTAGCGCGAAGAACTTTAAGGCCCTGATACAGCCACGCACCATATCATTGTTCACATCTCTAGTCTACTGAAATGGTGCTCTTTGGCCATTAATTCGTCCTTTTACCATACAATATCACTCATCATCATCACCATCACCTCATATGGACAAGTCAAAGGTTACAGCCTGAACGCTCCCGTGACCTCCTTCAAGCCAGCCTCCGCTACAGCGACACAGTCAGTTACAATTGCCGGATACATGACAACACATTCTACAAGACACTAACTCACTTCACACAACAACAGCCTAGCGGCGCACATTTGTTATTCATACACGCAAAAAATAATGTTTTAAGGGCAAGTCTGTGTCGTCAGAAAAAAAATGCAGCCACCAGATGAAAAAGACTGGGCGTTGTTGTTGTTGTTGGGCGCGTTGAGCGTTGACTGGGCGCGTTGAGCAACAGCGTTAACTTTCGATGATGATTGAGCCGTTGGAGAGACGGACAAAGAGATAGACAGGCAGACGAAAACTTCTGCGTTGGAGTATCTCAAGGAAGACTAGTGACTTTACAGAAAAAAAATCATAAAGTAGAGTGGCTAGCTCTTTTTCCACTGATGTCCTGTGAGGCGCTCCGACTCATATTGCCTTGCCGGGCTGGGATGACAACAAGGCCTGTGAGATGACGGCCCTTGGTGGATTGAGGGCTCTTGTAGAACAGGCGTATTGTATAATTGCATATATATATATATATATATATATATATATATATATATATATATATATATATATATATATATATATATATATATGTGTGTGTGTGTGACGCTATGAAGAATGGGAGACGTGGCGTGGCTCATACGCCATGTTTATTCTGTGCTCCACTTCTTCCTCCTCTACTTCTACAAACCATCGCTACCTTCATACGTCACACGATTCCCCCTCCCCCAGAAAGAATGCGCGAGCTACAAACTATGAAGCATGAACAAGTGGTGTCTCATCATAGGAAAAAATATCACAAAATAGAGTAGTTCCATGTAACACGGCAGTTCCATGCACTTGCACAAAAACATTCACAGGGAAGGCAGTCCAGTGAGATCTATGAGACCTCAGGTGGACGAGGTTGGCTTTTGCGTTCTGGAGAGCACAACCATGCATACGACGTGGAAAAGGATGACACAGCCTGGATAGTAGCGAAAAACGAACAAGGTTGGGAGTCTTTGTAGCGTTGGAAGGTTGGATGTCTAATGCGTTGGATTCTGAGTCGTGGCCGCGACAGATGCATTGTAACTAGTATGCGTGCTTTTTGAGAGATGGTGATGACTAAATGCCTGTGTGCTGGTGGCGTGCAAGAAGTTGCTCCGCGTTTTAATGGGCGTTTTCTGTGGTGTTGTCGTCTGTGCAACCGCTGGCGCAGAGAGCGTCTGTGACGATGTTCCTTCATCCGGAAACACCTTTTTTCTTGAAATGGCCCTTGTATCAAAGTTCTTAATTTTTTAAGTCGTTCAAGTTGGGAGCGTGTTTCCGTTGAAGTTTTCATTCGTCCTCGTCTTTGTCGTTGTATCTGTTGTAATGTCGGCGATTCTTGGACTTGCTTTTGCTGGCGTTGCTGCTGTTGCTGTGGAACGCATTGCGGTGAGATCCCTTCTTGAACATCGCGCTCGTTTTCTTCACAACTTGATGTGGGGCCAAGTCGGCAGCTGGTAGTTTGTGGGTTGTTGTCATGCACTTCGGGCAATGAAGATAATGCTTCTGAATCGGTAGAAAGTTCTTCAGAAGCTTCTTCTACCCTGTTCACTACGAGAGGCTCTTGCGCATTGCAGCGTGCGACGTTCGATGTGTCGGAGCCTTCGGTGTTGCTTCCACTGTCGAGTGTGTATGGACTGGATGGCGATATATGAGCCCTTGTGGAAAGAGCATGGCTCGAGAGGGTATTTTCCCGATGTGCCAGGTCATCTGCCATAAATACGGCGTCCTTATAAGGCAAATGGTGAGCGTTAGGAGCGCTTGAAGAACCGCGTGATAAAAACCCAGGTGGTGGACCACGTATGCGAGACGAAGAGTGAACGGCATCAGGTGGTTGGGCAACGTCTCCGGTCATATGCTGAAGCGATGACTTCGCAAATGCCGACTTTCGTGCAGAAGGGAGGCGCGCTCGATGGCTGTGTTTTTCCCAAAATACGCATTGTCGTCTGCCACTGAACTCGTGTGCCACTTCGTCTTTTGTCAGAGGTCGAATCTTGCTGTGCGTTCGAATGGTTGAAGACTGCCTGTAAAATTGACGACTGAGTGCAGTTGTCTGTGGATGGTGGGTTACAAGCAAATCTTCATCGTAGTCGTCATCGTATTTTTTAAACCAAACGATCATTTCTTGTTTTATCTTTTGCCAAGTGCCATCGTTGTCGAATATGTGGGTGAGGTAAAATTTAAATGCCTCACCGGTGACGTAGTCGCTGAAGTTCGTAACCATTTCCCGTTGCGACCAAGATGCAGCGGTAGCGTGGAACTCGAACAGGTCGAACCAGTCCTGTACAGGTCCATCGTCCGCTGCTCCGGTGTACTTGGGGATGGGAAGGTCGGTCGATGATTCTGTCATGGTGCTGGTCGCTGTGTGCGGCTAGGAGATGATTCCGTAGTCGATGTATGGTCAGGGCGTCTTGTGTAGAACTGCGTCGATGATGAGACACTGATGAAGTGGCTGGGAGGTCTTCATCCTGTCGACTCGTGTGACGCTATGAAGAATGGGAGACGTGGCGTGGCTCATACGCCATGTTTATTCTGTGCTCCACTTCTTCCTCCTCTACTTCTACAAACCATCGCTACCTTCATACGTCATATATATATATATATATATATATATATATATATATATATATATATATATATATATATATATATATATATATATATGTGTGTGTGTGTGTGTGTGTGTGTGTGGTGTGTGTATTTGATGTTTATGTAAGCGAATACATTGATGAAAAAAATTTTTGGGCCCGGTCTCAGAGAGCACAAGAGAAGGGTGAAATATTCAAGAAAAAAAAGAGGACCAAGAGATTACACGGTATATGGCTCATCTTGGCTCGTTCTTATGGTGGTGGTGGGCAATGATGGTGGTGCTCTCTACTTTACTCTTTTGGCTTTCCCTCTTTCTTTCTTCTTCAAAATTAACATTTAACCCTTGTGCTATTCATTTTTTTAAATTTCGGTAACCTGCAATACTTCGGTGCTGCAGGGCGGGCATTGATCGTAGTTTTATTTTCATTATTTTAAGGTTAAATTTTGCCCACACAAACCTGTCTGTGAATATACCGGCCATCTGCGACATCTTTGTGGGGAAAGTGAGCTACATTGTGTATATTCCAACCGAAGAAAGACACACTGAGAAATAATGATATTTGCCACTTCGAGGACAACATTTTCAGAGCAGGTATACAATGGGAGATGGTTCAGCAGAGATGGCTCAAATCGGCTAGATTGTCAAAGACGACACATTTGTTGCAATTATATAACGTCTAGCGATGATGATTGTTCCACGAGTTCAGGAGCAACGTGATAGCCCTTGAGACGGGTGTAGTGCCTGGCCTTGCAATTTTTTGAGTGTGCGAATATTAGTCTGGGACGCATTGGCCATAGTCGAAGAGCTGCAGCGTAAAAATCCTAGAAAGAAAGCTATGTACCACTCTAGCATGGAACGCACAAAAATCGCATTGTGCGAACAAAAGAAAATTTTGTTATCTTCAGTGTAATCAAATGGGGCTCTCTGAAAGGCTCCATTCAATGATCACACCGCACAGGGGATGACAGTGCTAGCAATAGATTTTCTAGGTACTGATAATGACAAGGTTATAAGACCTTATTTCATCCTTTTAGTGCACCTGTAGTATCCTTATATTTGTAATAGGAAACATACGGACACTCAAAGTGCAGTTTTTCCGTTAATATACTTCTCAATAGAAGTTCTAAATTATAAATATCGCGCCACGCGTCGTATGATCTATATACGAATAAGGCACGCTCTGAGCTGCCAGATTGAATGAGGTTAAGGTGATAGCGCTTTTGTTCATGAAATTTGTAGCCAACAGGCTAAACAAGTGGCCCTAAATAAGTGCGGGCATGCAAATTTCTACTTTAGGCCTAAGTGAGTCATATTATCGCTGCATGATGGTCCACTTAATAAGAAATTTTCGAAGTGCACTCATCTTTACTTTAAACTTCGCTTTGTGCTACGGGTTGCTAAGCTCAACGTGGCGGATTAACCCTGGCCAAAGTGATGGCTTTGTGATTACGATGAAATGCTACATTAAAAGAAGTTGTGCGTAACTTTAAACACAGAGCCTGAGAAATACTCTGTTGCTCCCTGGTCTGTGATTGTCTCATTGCTACAACGCTTTTGATAATCATGCACTTTCGGCTCGCAATGTATGGTTACGGTCAACTAGATATGGCACTTCTGGCGGTAACTGTTGGCGCAACAAAGCGCACAGACACAGCTGACAGAGGAACTCCACTACCACTGCATTAGAGATTATATGTTGCGTATGGTGATTTCAATCAACATTTACCTCATCAATTTGACCATGGAACCTGTGTCAACAACTTTGATGTGGTCCCGCTTGAATATTTGCGCCCTCGGGTGCTTGTCGTATGTGAACCAGTCTCCGTACTTCTGTACGTTGAATGGTGCACCACTCAACTGGAACATCAAGCTAGAGTACCTGTCAGAATAAAGTAGGACATATATCTCTGAAAAAAGCGAAAATGCACACACTGAACCTCTTACCCTAAATAGAGCATTTTGATTACTTTAAACGACCTGTACATAGAACTAAAATGAGAAATGGTTTAAGTAGGCAGAGCATGAAGTTTCATGAAACATGATTTATCGAACAAGAAAACCAAGATTATGTGCACCTTTAAAAAATAATGACTGAGTCTTGCCAATGATTGAAGGTTGGGTACTTCCCAACATTAGATTGTCATTGCTTATCTACTCCTGCATGTGTCCACGACTTCATAACACTTGAAAGATATGCCTGTTCCCATGAACACCGAAGAAATGTTGCCGATTGGCATATAATGCTCATATCGCTTCTTAATAAAGTTTAGAATAAAGGGTATATTTTGGGTTCGCTTCTGCCCCACAATAGCTAGCCTCATGCGGCTTACCCATGTTTCTTTTTTAACTGTACGCTCGTCTCTTCCCTACCAAAAATATTAAATTGTGCTCACGCCGCACCCGCCGTTTATGACCAGCAAGTATCAGACACACGGTGATAAAGCAATGTACTTCACGCATAATGCAAAGCACATAAAGCACAGAACAGTGTTTTCCCCAACAAGAATCATCATCTGGCTTGGATGCGCTTTGTTTATTGAATACTTCATGACCAGATCATTGTGCCAAAAATGCTGTGTCACACTGACAACTCACGTGCGGTTCGTGATCTTTAAGTACTACACGAAGAGCTATAACGCAAAGGAAAGCTATATTGCAAAGATGACAATTTTGGTTGTGGGACAGGACACCACTTAGGAGCGCAGCTCTTTAAGCTCAAGAAAACCTCGTGTCATCTTGACAACAAACTGCCTAGCTATTGCGTTGGCTCGCGTTACCTATAACCAAATGGCAAAACTTCACTTGCCTTACCCAGCTCACATAGCGCTTCTCTTTACACCAAGGAACAACTAGGCGCTTGACGAAAATTACTTAACACCACACAAAATTATTACTGAGGAGAAGTAGTTATAACAAGGAAAGTACGCTCCAATTCGAAAATGGCCAAAATGGGAGGAACGGATGTTTTAGTGTTTGAGAGCAACCACTACTCCCCAAAAAGACCAAGTGGAACAAGACAGCTGACATGTTCGAAAACGAGGGAGCAATCGACGAGGCTTAAGTGTGCAAGGGAGTAGCGATTCCTCTCCTGAAGGACACCACAGAAGAATATGCAAGTGCCCCTATTTATAATCAGGGGCCAGGTAATTTTTTTTACGCCGAACTGCACCTAACCAAAACAGTTGTTGATTTTAGCATCCACAGATAATCAAAACAGCGCTGGCTGACCACCAAAAGCCTGCCAATACTGCTGCTGCAACGAGCGTAACACGCGCAGCAGCAGTGTAAAGTTGTTAAAAGTATGACAAAAACGATCAAAAGCCGAAACAGGGGCAAAACTCAAAACAAGGATTTCGAAAAGAAAAGCCCACAGACGCTCTTCGTCTGCAGAGAGAACGTCGTCAAAACCGATCAAACGCCCAAACACGTGATAGGGGATGCTTTCAAAAAATAAACTGGATAAAAAAAGAGGAACTGTACAAACAAGTCGACACGCGCCGTTTGGCAGCCACAAAACTGAGTAGTTACACTTCAACGTGAAAAGCATATTGGCAAAACTGCTTGCCACGACAAATGTGGCGCTAGCATAACAAGTGATAAAATTCCTATAAAGCCATAATCAAATAATATTTTCTCCGTAGTAGTAATATACAACAACTTTATACAAATGTTGTTCTTGAATAATTATAACTTGCAGTAAAAGGGGTCTTTTTGTAATTAGTGTAGTACGAGAACACACTAAAAGCATTGCGATGACGCCCGTGCTGCCGCCCTTCGACGTTTTTTCAGCGCAACCACGCAACTAGGTGTGCGTTCACACTATGTATTATCATATGATTCGCAGTCAATGAGCCCATCGGCGGGCAAGGAGGTGTTCCACGTCTTGCTCATGCGTGAGTTTCGTAGATTCAAGTTTCTACTTGTTCGTCATGGAGCTTAGTGTATGGTGATCTTTCGAGAGCGCAACGTCGGTGTGGACTTTTCCGCTCGATGAAACAAACTAGACTGAAACACTTCTTCAGCTGTCTGCAACCAGTCAGCTCGTCGGACAAAAGACTGGGCATGCATCAGCTTGTGGATGAGTGTTGACGAACTGCGTGTTGTTTCTAACTATATGTGATGCTCGCACAGTAACATTGCTTGTGGTGTCCTTAGCTCACAAGTTTGTTTTTGTATACGGCATGTGCGATGTGTTGAGTTCTCGAGAAGCTGGCTGATTGTTTTTTTTTCGAAATACATTGTTGAGTGCTATCGTGCTATGAAAAGAAAAATGAACTGCTCTTGCTTATTCACTGTATGTAATGCTAGCTGTATCAGACGAAATTAGTGCTAGTTTTACCGCCTGCACTCCCTCTTGCTACCCCTGTCTTCAATGCAGTGCCACTGTAGTTTTGCTGTGAAAAGATCCTGTCCGAAGTAATACCCATTTCGTCAAATTGATGTTGAGGCAGATCTTTTCTTGCCTTGACACAGGTACTTCTCGATCATTGGCATTTTGTAACGTTAACGACTGCATCTTCAGGACTTCAGCGTATTTTTTAGCTGTTCTGTATGTAAAACAGTTGTTCAAGAGATAACTGTCGCATCACTTCACTGGCATAGCCAGGGGTGGTAAAAGGGCCACGTGCCCCTCTCCCCTGTATCTCTAAACTTTTTAGGCAGGGCTTAGAAAACCACAATAAGACACTTACCCACATTTGCATGCCCGGCCTCGACTTCAGATGAGCGCTCCCTCCCCCAGCACACCCGAAAAAAACTTCTGCATACGCCCCTGAGTCACTTACTTCACCTTGAGCCACTGTTTTACCCCCAAGCTGCACGTATTATTTTAGAAGAGCACTGCCAAAGAAGGACATCGCATACGAACAGAACATCGTGAAGACAAACTTTTCACATTTCTTCTCTATAGTTCTGCAAAACCTTTACTACAATAAATCTTGTGAGAGACAATCATAAATGCTGTAGGTTCATGTGACTGCAGCTGTTTTTATTCTGCTTCTAAAAAATTTGTGTGCCGTGATACATCGGCAAGCTATTTTAGCGCAGTTATACGTCGATAATATTTGACAAAAATGTGACATCCTTTTGATAACCTCAATAACGCCATTTGAGCTTTACCACCTAGGTATAAGTAGGCTGATTCCCACTTGGCTGTTTTTGATCAGACTTTACTGCTAGCAATTTCGATGCACGTTCTATTTTTTTTTTTCAAGTGTATGACCGCAACATATCTGGCAATACTGCAGATCATGATGTACTCAATGATGCAATAATGCAGAAGGCAATAAAATTTTAATTGTTTGATATATTAGGTTTAGCGCTCCAGAACGACCATATGATTATGAGTAACGCTGTAGTGGAGGGCTCCGGAAGTTTTGAAAACCTGGGGTTCTTTAGCGTGCACCCAAATCTGAGCACATGGGCTTACAGCATTTTCGCCTCCCTCGAAAATGAAGCCGCCGCAGCCGCGATTCAAGCCCGCGACCTGCAGGTCAGCAGCTTAGTACTTTAGCCAATAGACCACCATGGCAGGGCCAGGCAATTGAATTTTGGTGAGTAGATATTTTTTTTGTACGTGTAACGTTAATGAAAGGATGGCTTTTTGGGAGTGAATGGCGTATGTGTGTACCAGTGAATAATTTATCAAGCCACATGGTTACGCTGGCTCTGACTATGTGATATGACTATGCTGGCCTATGTTTGGAAATTCATTTTTGAAAATTTGCTTTGCGAATTCCCAAAAAGGAATTGGCTATGCACCCACTACGTGGCCTTAAAGGTGCAGTGACGAGTGTGCCTTTTGTAGCGGGTGACTGGCTCTAAACTATGATATTATCGTAATCTCATGAACTGACGCGAGATGGCAATGTACGTATATACCACGCACTATTACGGCAATATTTCATGTTGTATTGCGAAGCCTGTATGCAGGACGCGTGTTTGTAAAACATGAAACATGAAACCGCATTTCCAAGCAGAGGAAGTTATTTTTACTGCAATCTCAAGCAGAGTCATGGTTGCGAGGTAGAACTCCCGCTTGCCACGCCAAAGACCAGGGCTCCATCTGCACAAAGCCCCAGAGTTTTTTATTTGCATCTTTCTTGACTTTTCGGTCAGGCATTGCCAATTTTTCGCTGACAATCACCGATTCCGATGCCAATGCCAGGATTTCTGCGAAAGGAGCTCTGTAACGCTATCGTGTTTATCCTTCTCCTGTTAGGATTAGTTATCATTCGAAAGGCTTTAAATTTCATATCCTAAATTCTTGGCCCATTCCCCTGAGTGGGCAGGAGCCATATTGGAGGCATCATATCATCACTATCATACCATAAACCATCAATTCGGTATAGTGGATTGTTTCGTGCTTAAATACAATAAATATCCACCCGCCAAAATTCTTACGTGAACTGTTTACGGGTTCTGTGAAAAAAAAAATGTTCGTTGACACTTACGGGATGTTGTAGCTCGGCCAATATGACTGCTTCCGGAGGACAGCGGAGACATCCTCCGTGTGTGTGAATCCGCTGCACATGTAAAATATACACGTAAATTATGTAAGCACGAAATTGGTGTAAAATGCGCGAGCACTTTATTTATTTGCGTCTGTTACAACAGCGTCTTTTACACCACAACAGAGAGATGTTTATGACGTTGTTCAAAACTGGCATTCCTGTGCACGCACACGCATTCTCATTACTTTGCATTATACTTTAGGTGCGTTCCTTTTCCTCTAACAATTTATCTACTGTAAAACACCACGTATGTATGCATTCAAGCTAGAATTGAAGAAATTTCACATAGGAGTTCTGAGGAGTTATTGTTACGCAGAGAGTACATTGAAGTTGTTTTGTTTCTGTAGTAACAATACATAATATGAATTCATATCTATAACTAATAGTTTTGCGCTTAGCTGAAAAAACGCATACATTGCGTTATCAGCGAAAAATGGTAATGTTGTGCTAGGTTATCTATAAAAAATGCGCAATGAATTCAAGCGAAGATCTCTAGAAACCCGTTAGTCTAGAAGTTATCAGTTCTTCGCCAGCGTCGTGTCTTCGTATAGTGCGGAGATGCAACTAAAGAAATAAAAATATAAAATATTCCGTCAGCCCCGAAAGCAGTAGCGACATCGCGTATTTATGCTTAATGACAACTTGGCATCTCTGTTTGTATAGTGCTGTGCTTTTACATGTCTTCGGTCACTACGCCCCTTTTTTGTCTTAATTGCTCATTCATATGTGTATTCGCGAGAAAAGGACGGCGAACGAAAAAAAAATTGGTAGATCTCACGTTCCAAGGGAAACGCGGCTATGCGAAGTACACGTAGAGAACGTGACCATGTTATAGTTTTTATTGAGCGACACCTTATGAAATTACGCTAAATATAGGTACAAGTGTTGCTCGCGCAGACATATGTTGAAAGGTTGAAGATGGTGATACAACCAACTCTTCGCACTTGCACTACGATGCCCACTGGAGCATGAGTACTAGCAACACCAAAAGCAATAAGCTGATAGGAAGGGCTGCTGCTCGCGAGGATTGTAGCTCTGGACTGCTTCATAAAGCAGCTTCAGCGCATGACACTTGACTACAATTGACGTCAACTCGACGTGACGGCTCTATTTTAGGAGCATGTGCATATTTGTTATTTATAAAATTTGACAGCCATCACTGCATCTCCAATGGACGTCTCATAAACATTACGGTGTTGAAAAACAGCTGCGAGACCTGGCGTGGTTCGGTAGTAGAATACTTGGTCGCCACGCAGAAGGCCGGGGCTCGATTCCTGCTGGCAGCCTGACCTTTTTTCTTTGTATTCGTCGGGTCAACTTACCAGGTTTTTTTTAAGCTTGCAAGTAAGAAAACCCATGTCTGCAGTTGCAGTCGCTGTTTTGATATAAACTGTCAATCACCTGTGGCACATACTCGCATACGAGTGGCACATTCCCTCTCAAAGGTATGCACCATGTCTTGCGTGACATGTTTGACAATGTACGCGGCGGGATTGTGGCATTATTAGTTTATTTACTAGTGAGTCATATTTATCAAAACAGCTTACCCTACCATAAACTCTAGTTCGCGCCAAGTCAAGGGGGTGATCATGGGAGCACCCGGATGTAAGCGGCAAGATAGATAAAAAGATGAACGGAAAAAGTACATTCAGTACGCAAAGAAATGTTTCGAAGCTAGCTTGTTTTCAAGAAACAATTGTTCGGGCCAGTTGGTATGAATCCATCTTGGTAGGAAGCGGAGAAACTATTACACGGAACACACAACACAAGCTCTTATAATATATACTACCAAGATAGCTTGTTTTGTTTGCTAGATAGAGCAACCTGGCCACTGTCGACTAGCTGAGAATGATGATGATCGCTCCCTTTTCGTCAATGCTTCAGCATCAGCTTGATGTGTTTGCTTCTATGGACCAATGTCCGCCTTGTAAAGAGTAACGAAAAGAACTTACGGGAGAGATTCCATGATCCAGAGCAGTCCATCTGGTATTTGTTGTGCCGGTTTAAACTTGTTATAATCAACGATCATCCATTGTTTGCTGTTTCTATGATTTTATAAAAACAACAAATTAATTAGACTAAATAACTATACATACATCATAGAAGTTTGTATTATTACAGAACGTCAAACGCAATGTAGGCACCGCTAACGTAGAAATTGCGCAGTTGAACTGCACCTACGTGTCATTGATGAAGTGGATACTTTTCAAGACGAGAGATATCCTTTGAACAATAATGAGTATCGCCAATGATCGGCTCATAGTAAGTGGTTACAGCAGCTAAATTTTTGTTTGAAACTATTTACACCTTCGTGCTTATGGCTTATATATTTCTCCTTTGAGAGCGAAATGCGCGTCGTTTCGAACACCTTGACATTAGCCACTGCTCACACTTTCGAAGGGGAGCACTTCCTTATGTATTGATTGCAATATCGCTTGGCTATGGACCATGATAACATACAGCCTTAATGTAGTTTGCATATATGGCTTTAACTGGCAAGCATTAGTGGTTGCCTGAGTAAATATTTGATACTACGAATAATGACAAGTAGTACATTTAGAAGCGTGTTGCCTAATGGAAAGATATTGCGTTCAACGTACCTTGTTATGGTTCACAAAACATTTGAAGTCTAGGGTTCCTTTAAAAGTTGTGGCTATCCACGAGTCATAAGCTAAAAGGGAGATTTCATCAACCGTGTATAGCGTAGTGACGGTGTCATCCGTTATAGCTTGAGCATGTTGCTCATTGTACAGTGTGTCTATAAAGAGCCATTTTAAATAGGGTATGATGGGAGCATGCAAACTAACTCCGCGCCTATTTTTTGTTTCTGTAACTGTGTGAAATAAAGTGCTAAACACTTATGATAGCGAACGCTCCTGTTCATCCCGATGGGCAGCCCTTTCACACAAATATGTGTGGGCAGCCCTTTCATCAGCACACATATGTGTGCTATTGTAAATAATTTCAAGGGCAAAATAAAGTTCTTAAGAAATAAAAAGAACGCAACCCTCTTAGACGAAAAAAAAGAAAAAAAATTGTTAGCTGCGTCCTTAACTTTTCTTCAGCATGAACCAACTAGACCAACGCGTTCTAGTTAAAAGAAAGTGCTTAGTGTTGCACAGAGAGGGCGTACATGAAAGCGTGCTTACGTTCCACTGGGGTTCTTGCTATAAATATTGATCCACTCCGTCGCCGACGTCGCCAGTCGGTTAGCGACAATGGCGCGCACAAACTCGAATACGCAGTTTGGTGTGATGAAGCGGTAGAGAGAGTTGTTGTGCACCTCGATACCTGTGGACATGAGTGCCTACCACGCCAAAATGAAAGACACAGTAACACAACTTCAATGAACACATAACAGTATTCAACTTCCCGACTCAAGTAAACGTATCAATGTTTCTGTTAAATTTCAATTGCACATCAGGCTACCTGTTTTACATCAATTAAAAGAGGATACGCTTACCACAGGTATCCAAGATAGCCAAGATTTAAGATAGCCACGATAGCCAAGATTTAAGTAAACTGCACCTGTACTTACACATTGTTAAAATTTTTATCACGAAAATGAAGCATGTTCCGTTTCAGTAGGCACTGAAATCACAAAAAACTACCTGTCGTGTTTTTATTTCGTAAGCCTTTAGCTTTCTCTCCCGATGTGGCCTGGTTGTTTTTCAAATATTAGTCACATAGTTTAAAAGCGCTATACCCGTAGCCTCAATAATATCAATAACTTGTGTGATGCGACGTTTATGTGAAGGAAAGTGTACACCTAGGAGGTCACTTTTTTGTTAGACACAAAATTAACGAGATCTGACAACAAGCATGCGAAAGAGAGCACAGTGGATGTTATAAGAAGTAATTGTAATGCAAATGTGAAGAAAGAGAAGTGAATTAAATGATAACTTGCCGCGGACAGGTACCAAACCTGCGACCTTCGAGTAACACGTTTGATGCTCTATGAAGTGGTCTGCCACGGCGGCTATCCTCCCATCGTATTCAAGGGGTATATATGTGCATTGAACGTAGGAGTGCCAGTCAGCGCGACCGGTAGCCAAGATGGCGAGTGTGCAACACCCTGTATCTGCCTCTTTGGCGTCAAGTAGAACGTGACGCCGAACACTAGGAGTGGACACAAGCAATGCCTTCTCCATCTTCTATGCTGCCATAGCTGATTAGACAAAGCCAAAGCCGCCAACCAGATTTCGACATCAGCCAAGTCTTTCCGAAGTGCGAGCAAGATTATCTAAAACACTGCTCCGGAAATCTGAGGACTAATTATCGTTATTATCAAGAATTCGACAGCATCGCATCAAAACAGAGGACTCTACCAGCGCAGTTCGACAGAGCCCATACTGAGATTCGACACGGTAGCGCGTGGCCGTGAAGAATCAAGTCGCCGAAATGCTACGGGTCGACATCATTGAGCCGAGTAAGGGTTCGTTGGCGTCATCTGTGGTATTAGTGAAGGACGGAAACCTACGTTTTGGCGTCGAGAACCGCCGCCTGAACAAAATCACTAAGAAGGGCGTGCACCCTCTCCCACGTATAGACGACACCCTGAATTGACTCCACAACACGAAGTACTTATCCTCGATGGACCCCAAGACCAGCTTATGGCAAAAGTCGACGAGAGAAATCACGAGAAGACTGCCCTTATCCCACCAGACGGCTTCTTCGAGTTGAAGGTCATGCCACTTGGTCTTCGCTCGGCACTTGCGATGTTTCAGTGTGTTATGGACACCGTGCTGGCTGTATTGAAGTGGAAAACCTACCTCGTGAACTTGTGCGACGTCGTCGTGTTTTCATCGAGCATCGAAGAGCATTTTCGGCGCCCCGAAACAGTACTTCAAGCTATCACGGTCTCCGAACTAACCTTGAAGCCAGAAAAGTGTCACTTCGCGTACAACAAGCTGTTTTTTCTGGGACACGTTATTAAGAAGTCTGAAGTTCGGCCCGCAAAAAATAGCCGCCATCACCAATTTCTTGACGCAAACCGACAAGAAGGCAGTACGGCGATTTCTCGGAGTGTGCGCCTATTACAGGCGTTTTGTCAAAAAATTCTCACAGATCCGACGAGCTGCTAACTCACCTCACGAAGATTAACGTCGAATTCATGTGAGAAACGACACAATAGGAAGTATTTCAGAAAATTAAACGAAGCCTGCAGACATCACCAATACGATGAAATAGAAGCACACGCCTACGCGAGCAGCGTAGGCCTCGGCCCCGTGCTTGTGCGAAGGGTTGTTGACCTGGAAAGGGTTAACAGTTATGCTAGCCGGTCGCTGTCTAAGGCCGACTACAACTAATCCACAACAGCACGTTAGAGAACCGCAAGTGGTTCTTTTCGGAACCCTCCAATACTGCGTCTCTCATAATACCAGGGTGATTTGGGACGTTAAACACCACATATCAATAAAATCAACTATTTCACAAGAGAAAAACAGTGCCTTGGAATCATCTGGCTAGCGTCAAAGTTTCGCCTTTACCTCTATGGTAGGCATTTAAAAGTTGTGAGCGATACCCACGCCCTGTGTTCGTTAGATAACTTGAAGGACCCTTCAGGGCATCTCGCATGGTGGGGTCTAAGGCTTCAAGAACTCGGCATTATCGGCATGTACAAGTCCGGAAGGAAACACTCCGACGCCGACGGCCTGTCACACGCCCTGATCGATCCACCACCACAGGATGACCATGCATGATGAGAGCTTCTTGGGAAGAATAAGTTGCGAAGAACAAGCGATAGTGAACCTAACCAGAACTGAGGGGCCTGGCAGAAGGCCTTTAGGACCGGACTACCCTCGTGCCACAAATATTCTGGCGAGAACTGGCGTCATTCTTCTTAAAAAAACAGCACCCTCATAAAGAAGAACTTCTCTTTCGTTCTAGCCAGCTATCTCATTATTGTACCTTCGGCAATGCGACATAAAATTCTTCAGGCCCTACACCATGACCTGATGGCTGGACACCTTGGATTCTCCTGCAGGCTTGCAAGAGTACAGTAGAAGTACTACTGGCCACGCCTTGCCGCCGACGTCTCTCGCTATCTCAGGACGAGCCAAGACTGTTAGCGACGAAAGACACCACCCAAAAGACCAGCAGGCTTTTTCCAGGCAATCGATCCTTCCCGGTGACCATTCCAGCAAGTCGAGAAGAACCTTCTGGCGCAGATATCGATGCAGACTTACGGAAATAATTGAATCTCTCTAGGTACTAGCTAAACCGCTACGCCGAAACAATAGCCCTACCCAAAGGCAGTGGCACAGAGGTCGCCAATTTTTTTTGTTAAGAACATCGTCCATCGACATGGCGCCCCAGAGGTCCTCATCACTGACAAAGGTACGGCGTTTACAGCTGACCTGACTCAGGCAATCCTGAGATACAGTCAGACAAACCACCGCCGGACAATAGTGTACCACCCACAAGCCATTGGTGTGACCGAGCGTCTAAATAAAAATATAGCTGACATGCTGGCCATGTATGTCGACGTCGAACACAAGACATAGGACGCCATACTTACGTACGTGACCTGCGCATACAACACAGCCATGCAGGAGATGACGCAGATGACGCTGTACAAGGTGGACAACGGAATGAACCAGGCAACAATGCTCGACGCCATGCTGCCCAACGTCACCGACAAAGGGAACTTCTACGTCATCGTCTACCTTCAGCACGCCGAAGAATACTAACTCGCCCAGCTCTACATCAACAACCAAGAGATGGCTGACAGCCACCGCTACAATCTTCGACGAAGCTTCATGGTACACCAGCCGGGTGACCCTGTTTGGTTGGGACGCCGATACATTAACATGAACTCAGCGAAAAACTTCTACGACATTACTTCGGGACTTACAGGGTAGTTCAATGTCTCGGCGCTTTCAACTACGAGGTTGTCCCCGACGGCATAACAAAATTTTAACGGCGCCGAGCGCGGCCTGAAGTCGTTCATATGTCGTGCACCTGCACCCATTTCATGTTTTTTGGTCGATAACTTATAAAAAAAAAAAGTTGAACACAATACTAAACGCCGCTCTTTTCGGCTGTCTGAATAATAACTGCGTGTGCAGCCTAATATATCGCCTCTCTGCTGTTTTTGCGATACTATATTTTATGCTCTTTTATTTACCTTTTACCTTGCGTTCAGCCAATACGTGCAAAGAAGAGCTTGTTTTACGTAATTTCTCGGAGCAATAACAACACCGTCGTGAGTGCGGGCGTGAAATATCTGTCTTTGTTGTGCGTCATGCTTTCATCATCATCAGCCTGACTACGTCCACTGCAGGACAAAGGCCTCTCCCATGTTCCGCCAGTTAACCCGGTCCTGTGCTTGCTGCTGCCAATTTATACCCGCAAACTTCTTAATCTCATCTGCCCACCTAACCTTCTGTCTCCCCCTAACCCGCTTCCCTTCTCTGGGAATCCAGTCAGTTACCCTTAATGACCAGCGGTTATCCTGTCTACGCGCTACATGCCCTGCCCATGTCCATTTCTTCATCTTGATTTCAGCTAAGATATCCTTAACCCCCGTTTGTTCCCTAATCCACTCTGCTCTCTTCTTGTCTCTTAAGGTTGCACCTACCATTTTTCTTTCCATTGCTCGCTGCGTCGTCCTCAATTTAAGCTGAACCCTCTTTGTAAGTCTCCAGGTTTCTGCTCCGTAGCTAAGTACCGGCAAGATACAGCTGTTATATACCTTCCTCTTGAGGGATAGTGGCAATCTACCTGTCATAATTTGAGAGTGCTTGCCGAATGTGCTCCACCCCATTCTTATTCTTCTAGTTACTTCAATCTCGTGGTTCGGCTCTGCGGTTATTACCTGCCCTAAGTAGACATAGTCTTTTACAACTTCAAGTGCACTATTACCTATCTCAAAGCGCTGCTCCTTGCCGAGGTTGTTGTACATTACTTTCGTTTTCTGCAGATTAATTTTAAGACCCACCTTTCTGCTCTCCTTGTCTAACTTCGTAATCATGAGTTGCAATTCGTCCCCCGAGTTACTCAGCAATGCAATGTCATCGGCGAAGCGCAGGTTACTAAGGTATTCTCCATTGACTCTTATCCCTAACTGCTCCCATTCTAGGCTTCTGAAAACCTCCTGTAAGCACGCGGTAAATAGCATTGGGGAAATTGTGTCCCCCTGCCTTACACCCTTCTTGATTGGTATTCTGTTGCTTTCTTTATGAAGCACTATGGTAGCAGTTGATCCCCTGTAGATTGCTTCCAGAATGTTTATATATACTTCATCTACGCCCTGATTCCGCAGTGTTTGCATGACGGCTGATATTTCTACTGAATCAAACGCCTTCTCGTAATCTATGAAGGCTATGTATAGTGGTTGGTTATACTCTGAGCATTTCTCTATTACCTGATTGATAGTATGAATGTGGTCAATTGTTGAGTAGCCTGTTCGAAATCCTGCTTGTTCCTTTGGTTGATTGAATTCTAATGTTTTCTTTACTCTGTTAGCAATTACCTTTGTAAATAGCTTGTATACTACAGAGAGCAAGCTGATCGGCCTGTAATTCTTCAAGTCCTTGTCATCTCCTTTCTTATGTATTAAGATGATGTTAGCGTTCTTCCAAGACTCTGGTACTCTTCCCGTCAGGAGACACCTCGTAAACAGGGTGGCTAGTTTTTCTAACACAATCTGTCCTCCATCTTTCAGCAGATCTGATGTTACCTGATCCTCACCAGCAGCTTTGCCCCTTTGCATGCCCTCCAAAGCTTTTCTGACTTCTTCTATCATTACTGGTGGGGTGTAATCTGGGTTACTGCTAGTTCTTATAGTATTAAGGTCGTGGTTGTCTCGGCTACTGTACAGATCTCTGTAAAACTCCCCCGCTATTTTAACTATCCTATCCATATTGGTAGTTATTTTGCCTTCTTTGTCCCTTAGTGCATACATCCGACTTTTGCCTATCCCAAGTTTCCTCTTCACTGCTTTGACGCTTCCTCCAGTTTTCAGAGCGTGTTCAATTCTCTCCTTGTTATACTTTCTTACATCGCATACCTTATGTCTATTAATCAACTTCGAAAGCTCTGCCAGTTCTATTTTGTCTGTTGTACTTGACACTTTCATGATTTGACGCTTCTTAATTAGGTTCTTCGTTTCTTGGGAAAGCTTGCCAGTGTCCTGTCTAACTACCCGGCCTCCAACTTCCACTGCACACTCCGTAATGATACTCGTCAGATTATCATTCATTGTATCTACGCTAAGGTTGGTTTCCTCACTAAGAGCCGAGTACCTGTTCTGCAGTGACACTCTGAATTCCTGTACTTTCCCTCTCAGTGCTAGCTGATTGATTGACTTCTTGCGTATCAGTTTCTGTCGTTCCTTCTTCAAGTCTAGGCGAATTCGAGACCGTACCATTCTATGGTCACTGCATCGTACCTTGCCAATCACTTCCACATCCTTAACGATTCCAGGGTGTGCACTCATTATAAAGTCTATTTCGTTCTTATTTTCGCCATTAGGGCTCCTCCATGTCCACTTGCGGTTTTCTCGTTTTCGGTAGAAGGTATTCAAAATCCGTAAATTATTACGTTCTGCGAATTCTACCAGTAGCTCTCCTCTGGCGTTTCTAGTACCGATGCCATAATCTCCTACTGCCTGGTCTCCAGCCTGCTTCTTCCCTACCTTTGCATTAAAGTCGCCCATCACTATAGTATACTGTGTTTTTACCTTACTCATTGCCAATTCCACGTCTTCATAGAAGCTTTCAACTGAAGCGTCATCATGGCTGGATGTAGGCGCGTAAGCCTGTACTACCTTCATTTTTTTGTATCTTTTATTCAGTTTAATTACGATACCTGCCACCCTTTCATTAATGCTATAGTATTCCTCTATGTTGCCAGCTATGTTTCTGTGAATTAGGAACCCCACTCCCAGTTCTCTTCTGTCTGCCAAGCCCCTGTAGCAAAGGACGTGCCCATTCTGTAGCACCGTATAGGCCTCATCTGTCCTCCTAACCTCACTGAGCCCTATTATATCCCATTTAACACCCTCTAGCTCCTCGAATAGTACAGCTAGACTTCCCTCACTAGATAAGGTTCTAGCGTTAAACGTTGCCAAGTTCAGGTTCCAATGCTTTAATTCACTTCATGCTTTAATTCACTTCAAATATTACTCCTACTCAGAACAGCTCGACGTACTGTATCGAGAATGTGTCAATACAACACGCAGTTCAATAATGCCTATAGTGCATTCGTAAGGTGTCCACGAGGGCACGTTTTCTTTAGAAATAACAACAATAGGAATATTTCAGGCACTTTATAATTATTTACGTCTACGTGCAGGCCCCAGAAAAACGTGGCTGGCCCAACGGAGCAAGAATATTTGCAAAGAAACTGCCAGGCCATGGCAGTGCGTGAGGGCAACGTGATAGCGCCACGGAGGAAAACGGCTTACCCCGGAGCTCAACAGATGAGGCTGTCGGCGTGTTGCCATCTTTTACATGCGCTTCAATGAAGGCGGCGTATAAAAATCGCAATGGCTCCTCGCAGTTTGCTATTATTTTTAGAATTCTGTCTATAACGCATATCGCTAGACGTAACAGATATCTTCGTTTCAGTTACTATTTGATACTGCCAAAATTGAAGGTCGTACATCGCTTGAAACGAACTGCTAAATGGTCCCTGAGCAGACGACATATGGTGCCTGCACATGCACGCTCCCCTCGCTCCACGCTCGCGGGTCGTGTGCACACATGCGTAAGTGGCCTTAGGAGGGAAAGTTCCCAACAAGCGGCCGTGGGTCCCTTCGCTATCTTGGCTTGCTCGCTTTACTCGCATTGCACAGGTGGCGCTGACTTGGGCGATTTCTCGGTGTCTTGCACGCGCGTTTCGCGCCGTTACGAAGGAGGGCTTTGAATATTTTGACCAGTATTTCTTCGGGATGCCCCGAAAGTGAGGGTGGGCATCCAGCAAAGACAAAGTAATTGCTCTGAAAGTTTCTAGTGGCCCAGTGAAGTTGGAAAAGTCGGCTAGTACCATAGCCAGAAAAGACCAAGACCGGAAAGGGGCATATACAGGCGGGGCTCCGAGGTGAGCTTGGTGGCGGCGAAGTTGTCAAGGACAAAGTGAAACGGCAGTGTTCCCACCTAACTCCGTACCTTCAATCTTTTCGCGCTTTCTCAACTAATTGTCAGCTGTTCACACAAAGATGCGCGCACGCATGCACATACACACAGACAGAGAAAAATTAACTAGACCTTACGTGAAGTGTTGAACGCCTGAAAGAAAAGCTACTTTGGTTGCTCAAAGTAAAGTTGCCTGCTAATTTTATTTGCATCTTTAATTTGCGGCCACAGAGAGGGTCAGCTTTTCGCTATACAACGACACCAATGTCGGCAGTTCTGCGAAACGAGCTCTCTAACGCTGTCACGATAAAATTTGGATCTTGTGAGTGCGCACCGGAACACATTCACCAGGGTGCAAACGGCGATTCGGATTGGAGTGACCTTGAACGAGAGCGCGGTGAGAGGAGCACGCGCTTTTTTTCTTTCTCCGTTAGCAGAGTTTCACGACAGAGGGTACGTCAGTGCTGTGCCCGATTTCCTGACGTTTCCCGGGAGCTCGAGCGAGCGCAGTTTCTCCTCCTCAAGACTTCTTGCAACGTGGTCGACGTACTGAATCGGGAATTCACTCATCTTCCGCATTACTATCAGCCTTACCTATATTTACGTTAAAGCTCTACTCTCACGTCTACCAATAACAGTGGCGTTCGAACGCAATGTCAATATTCATTGATAAAAGTTGCGAATTACGCAGGGGGGTGCATTGACCTCGCACCAGTCAATTCCTCCAGGGAACTTCTTGACCAATGTTACGTTATCATTTCTTTCTTCTTACTTATTTGCGAGCCCTCAAAACTCGTATTCCAAGGTGCAATATGAAAAGGCACCAAGAAGAGCACCGCTTACGTGAGATATTGGTTTTCAAGAGCATTCCTATCATTGTCTAAAGAACTAATGATAGGCTAACAGACGCATTAATCGACTCATTCCAACTCATTTTGACTAATATCAAGCCGTGAGTCAGAGTAATATTCAGCCCGAGTAAGCAACGCTTTGGTGAGTTTTAGCCCGGTTGAAGACGATTTTCGTCAGTGTAAATCTGAGCTAGTTTATATCAGAAACATTTTGGCTAGTCTGAGTGAGTTCCAAGCATGAAATGTATTTTATGAGTAGGCCTGAGTGAGCTCTACCAGTTTCGCTGAGCTCTGCCGAGCACAAACATTTATGTTGGCGTAGCGTTGGTACATTTCCTCATAATATTAACCACTGCAAATCACAGCTGCTTTTAGGTGGCGCAGGTTTCGCCGTCACGCACGCAACGTTGGTTTTCGTTCATTGCATACAGCATTTCATCATGGGCAGTAGGAACATATTCAAGAAAGACACAACTGTTTTTCAATTATGTACAGCATCTGTGGTAACAAATGGCACACAAAGGTTGAATTGTACTCACCAGTCCATTTGAAAGGAGGTAAAAGTCATCCCCTGATGTGAGCTTTCCAGGGCTGGATGATGTTGCATGAACCCTGCCCGCAATTTTTTTTTCTGTGTTCGTAGTAGGAAATTTCGTCATTAGTTATTTGGAACTCACAAGTATGTGATAACCACTAGCAATTGGTTCATGATCACTACGAAGTATATTTCTCAATTTGCACAGTTCTGTCGTTAAAACATATTATTCAACGACCTTTTAAATACTAACTGCAGAAAAAATTTTTCAATGCAGAAGCTCTCGCACCTATTCAGAAGCATCAGTTCTTTATTATTTGTTTTGAGATAACCGATTGATATGTAGGGCTTAACGCCCTGAAACCACCATATGATTATGAGAGACGCCATAATGGAGAGCTCCGGAAATTTTGACCACCCGGGGTCCTTTAACGTGCGCCCAAATGTTAGCCCACGGGCCTGCAGCATTTTTCCTTCCTCGAAAATGCAGTCACCGCAGCCTAGATTTGATCCCTCGATCTGCGGGTGAGCAGCCGAGTACTTTAACCACTAGACCTCCGCGGCGGGGTGTGGTGAAATAACTTAAATGTTCAATTCTTTGGCAGGCGTAAATTATACCTATATACCACTTGCCTTGCGGTGGTTTCGCTTCCCTCAACAAATAACCAAAGACTGCTTTTTTTCAAATTAGAATTAAAATTATCACCTACAATGCAGGAGCATATACATTCACATCGGAAGCAAAGCTAAAAATAGACATTAGAACTGTACTTGAAGAGATAAAAACACTCTTTAGAAAAGTTCAGCGAATATCATGCACTGTGAAAGTCGATGCAATGTGAAGCAGTCAGCTAGGAGGTCCATACGTCACAATATTTAGCTCACGAACAAATTAAGTGATTTATGCCTGTAATGTCATTCAGTGTCACATATTTTGAATCAAAGCACGCAAGCATGCAAATTCCGGTATCAACATCCTAATAAAATGCACATTTTGGTCTACAGCACGCTATACCTGTTATTTGTATTGTCATACCCATGCTATGCGAGTATTGGTGTATTACAGTGTAATTAAAGGTCCCCGACTGCCCTCAGATTGTTTCACTTTTACATGACGTACATGAGATGCAAGAAAACTTTACATTATGGCCTATAATTTATGTTCTATCATTCGAACTACGTTCTTTATTCAGTGATGCCAAGATATCATAGATTGATTTATTTATTTGTGGGGTTTAAAGTCCTAAAACCACCATATGAATATGAGAGACGCCGTAGTGAAGGGCTCCGGAAATTTCGACCACCTGGGGTTTTTTAACGTGCACCCAAATCTGAGCACACGGGCCTACAACATTTCCGCCTACATCAAAAATGTAGCCGCCGCAGCCGGGGTTCAATCCCGCGACCTGTGGGTCAGGTGCTATCATAGAGTTTTCTAAATTTAACTAGAGGGGAGTCAGGCGCTTGACATATCTACAGCTTTTCCCACTAACTTTATCCCAAGGAACAGCTTAGATAATCTGCATGCCATTGAAATAATCTGACCGTCAACCCCTTTAATTCATGTGCCAAAAATTTGATCCAAGCACCAAAATATTCAATCCAAGCGCCAACTTTATTAAGCCGTGTGCCAGTGATTTTAATCTAAGTGCCATCGTGCTTAATCCAATTGCCAATGACTCTAATCCAGGTGCCAGTCAGTTTAATCTATGCACAAAAAGCATAATACGGAACGTAAAAATGGCAGTGCATTTGAAATGCAGTTTCTACAATATAAAATATTATAATGGGAAGGTACAATAAATCATTATTATTAGTATTCGCCGCTAGTATTTGTGAAAACAAAAATTACTTCCGCGGTACGCTTGAGCCGTGTTTGGAGTGATTATACTGTGCTGTGTACAAGTTTGTAGATGAGTGCTTGGCCCGGGTGGTGTCATTTTAATAGCAATGAAAGAAAAAGCAAGAATATTTTGTGTTCGTCAGCAAACCTCATAATTGGATTTGTATAGCATTACATGTCCGGGCCAGGTCATGTAATGCGGCCGACATATTATTGTTTGTAGGAGAGCCGGGATGCATAATAAGATATGGAGAACTGAACTGTGGGTAGTGATGTGTCAAAAACAGGTACATGCTCTATAAATTAGGGGGCCATTACAGGGCAGAGCAAATTAGAAATTATTTAAAGAGGCTTTTGTTCCGCAGTGCACACAAGACGTAAACTCGTGATCCTCATGTGAAAAACGAAAGTCATTTTTTATATTCATATTAGTTGTTATCTTTTTATTCAAACAAAATTATGTGTATTCGATGAACGCGTGTTTAAAGCAAACACACTTCAGGAACACTAGCGTCGTCTTTTACATGAAAACAGCAGTATCTCTTTTGATGCTTTTACAAAAAAAACCTTATTTCTACTTAAACCCAAACAAATGCAACTTGAGTTTTAAATGGTTGTTTGTGATTTCAAGAATGAATGAATATCAAATCAAATCAAACTTTATTTATTTACCAGACAAAAAATGGAAGGTCGCCAAGGATAAAAGCCGCGAGAACGGCTTGACAAAGGCCCTGGTGACCATCTGTCAATCACCGTTGTTATCACCGGGCTGAGCAGACGACTGCGAATGCCTCAGCAAATAAGTAGCCAAAAGCAGATGACACGAATCTATGCATATGCGATGGTGTACATGGTTAGCCGAAATAATTAAGTAGCGACGAAGCATAGACTAACATGGACTCTATGAGCAAAGACGTTTAGTAGCCGTAAATGCAATTAACACACACTTTCTTATTTTGAAGCTATGACACCAAAACTTTAAAAGGAAATAGCAATGAGCACTTCATTTCATAAGCGCAAGCATGCATAGGCGAGGGAAAAGTTCTTCTTGTGACTTCAAGTTTACATTATTCTGACATTTATTCTCTATAAAGCAGCAAACTTGTGTTTCTAGTGCATGGATTACACTGACTGGAACTTGAATTAAAGTCATTGGCAATCGGATTAAACTCATTGGCACGCGGCCTCATTGAGTTGGCGCTTGGATTGAATGTTTGGCACATGGATTAAAATGCTCGGCGCACAGATTATTTCAATGGCGTGCAGATTATTTAAGCTGGCACTTGGATTAAAGTGGGCGGGAAAACCTGTAGTTTGTTACATAGATAGAGATAGATAGATAGATAGATAGATAGATAGATAGATAGATAGATAGATAGATAGATAGATAGATAGATAGATAGATAGATAGATAGATAGATAGATACTTTCAGAATGCCTCCAAGTTGATAAGATATACCGTGAAATTCAAAAGTTTTTGTTAATTCAGGAAAATCACTAGGTTGAAGTGGGAATGAAGGTTAGCTTACTAGACTTAGCTGATGTGTGCAGGTTAAGTGAGTACTTCTTTAGGATCTTGGTCATGCCTGCGTACGGCCCACCGCTCACGTGTGACAGCAGGAGGTCCTTGTTTCCGGGCAGCAGCTTGACCAGCGCCGAGTCGGCACGTCGACCAGCCATCGGCTCATCGACGTTGACACCCGATGTGGTCACAGGTCGAAGTCTGGCTTCTATGTCGTCCACTTCACCATCGAGGTTTAGAAATCTAGTGGAGTGCGATTCACATGAGGAGAAAACGGAGCTGATATGTGATTCTGCATACAGTGCGGCGCGAGAAATTTATCCTCTGATATCCCTGAAGGCGAGGGAACAATATAGGTATGGCAGCAAACTCGAAAATTGGTACGCCAGCACTTGATGAAGAAATGTAGAATGAAATCTTGCCAGATATTTAGAAAAAAAAGCTTCCTCTTTGAAGAGGAACACGCCTTCGTCCTGGGTTGGAAACCTGAACAAGTAACTTTCCAGAGCAGTTGCTTTACTAACAGATCTAGCAGATGTCCAATGATTGACAGCGCGTGGTCAGAATAATCTGTCACTCGAAACATGTGGCACTTGATGTGGCAATTAGGGTTATACAATTCTGACTACCAATATTCAGATCAATGTGCTTGAATACGGCTGTTATTTTTGCCCTATTGCCTACAAATTCCCGACAAATTCACTAGATCAGCCAGTAGAGCAACAAGTTCTAAATGGTGGTGGTCCAGTGCTTCAAACATCAGCCACCAAAAAGGTTTATGCCAATTAAGAAACTTATCTACTGAAGAACTTGTGTGAATGCTTTTGTATGTTTTTATCGTGCTGTATAATGGTGGATGCCAATTTTCTTTTACACAGTCTAGCTTAGAGGGCGTTTCTCGTAATAATAAAGCGGTTTTGAAACGTTAAACCCCACATATTATTCAGTCTAGCTTAGAAACGACAGCGTAATCTTGTAAACTTCAGCATTAGAGGGCTGGTTAGGGTAATTCAACAGCTGATTGTCATGCGTATTGAAATATATATTATTTAGGCACATCCACAATGCCCACCTTATTGCCATGTTACGCTAGGGCTTTCTATTAGTGCACAAACAATGCTCCTCTCGCCGAAAATGTATTCTTCTCTCACCGACTCCTTTCGCGGGTGTTATAAGTTAGTGTTTGTTGAACGTTTATTGCTTGCAACCTCTAGGTGTAGTTGATGGCGTAGTGGCACGTGAAATGTCTCGTTTAAGTTGGTAAACCCAGTGTTGGTACCACGCCGAAGCCGGCAGAAGGAAATGACCATAGTTTGCCCATGGCAGTCATACGATTCGCTTCACCTGACTGAATGGACGAAAGGCGGATATATATACGTAGATTATAAAAAGTCTGGCTTCGGTTGCCGTATAATTAAAAAAAATAAGTATACGCCTCTAAAAAACTGTTTATTGGTGATGTTTCGATCGGAGACCGATCGAAACGTCACCAATAACAGTTCTTTAGAGGCGTATACTTATTTTTTCCCATATATATATATATATATATATATATATATATATATATATAAATATATATATATATGAAGTTGAAGGTAGCGCACATTGAAAAAGAAAATTATTTTACTAACGTTTCAGCCGTGGCACAGCTTAGTCAGTGTAAATACGTCTATTAGAGTAGACTAGACCACAGCCGCTGTTACGGGCGCACGCCTCGAACTATCAGTACAGAAGCTAGTACATGAGAAATAAAATAACAATTGATATCGGTTGCAAAGATTGTTAAGATGACAAGCACATTAGGTATATGAATATATATGTATATATAATAGGTGCATAAATAGGAATAATAGGTAATAAGTTTGAATTGTTCTTCGCGTATCACCAACGTGGTGCACGGTGGGAAATGCAGGACATGTGAAAATAAAAACAATAAAAAAGCTGAAGACAAAGAGACCCGCCATCACGAACAAATTAATGAAATGAAAAGCCATGTTCTTTATTACGAGACAGGTGACCATTCCTACGCTTTCATCGATACCATAACGAAGAGCATTAAACTTATGAGTCAAGAAGGATTCCCATATCAAGGTTCGTTTTGAAGCCGGGCTGGATAAAAGCAGCCCTAAGTTTATCGAAACTGGGGCCAGGCATACTGACATGCCTGGGCAACAGTAGATCGGGAAGGCTTACGGCATGTGCACTGTGAGTATTAAAATGAATTCTCAAAATACTTTCCGTTTGACCTATGTATGGAGGTTGGCACATTCTTCACTTTAGGAGATATACGACATTAGCAGTGTCACATGTGTAGCCACCGTTCATTGTCAGTGAAAAGTTGAATGAAGTACTCGATACTGTTTTAGATGTGGTTATTTGCGCGCATACTTTGCAACGTGTTTTTTTTGCAGGGTTGACAACCTTCATCACATGGAACTTGTGGTTTTTGATAAAGCTAACAAATCACGGAAGTTCCGTGATCGTCGGTAGACCACGTGTGGTTATTTCGTGATGATTTCCTTCAGCAGCTCACTCTGCATTACAATGGTCAAATGTTTCTTTAAATTATGATTGACATTTGGAGCTCAGGCGCATGTGTCAAAATTACGTTAGTACGTGAAGTTTCTTTCGATCTTTTGTTAGTACCCAAAAGACCTGAACGATTGAGCTCTTCTGTGCCTTTGTTAGCGTTTGTGATTATACTAGACCGATAACTTTGTATTTTGAAAGCGCTCCGATGTTGCTCACAGTTGCAAAAAAAATCATGTCAATCAGAGCACATCCATCTAAAACAGAGCGCTTGGGTGTAGGGAATACTAGTTTTATTATTTTTAACATGACTACTACAAAGGTAGGGAGAAGGAACACGCTTCATTTTTTGCAGATGCCGTTATAATCCTTGATGCAGTTTTCACTTCCCAGAAAGATTTTACATGAATCAATTCATCACATCGTTCTGACGCATTTTTGTGACTGTTTCCATCAAAACGAGTACTGGAAAAACTTTATGATATATGTCTCATTGCTAAGAGAAATATGTAAGAGCCGTCACCGTTCATTATGTGGTTTTAAGTGTACAAGGTGACATTGCATGTCATCGAACGGCCCATTTGAAACTTGGGGTTTTGTGCTTACGCCAATGAAATTTTCCACCAACCAAAAACATACAAATTTTTCTATAAAATAATCTGTTTATCATGGTATCGAGCTTCCTGCATCTATTACGGCTCTACGTTGCGGGCCTCCAATTGAGCAAAGCGGCTCAGAAGTAAGCGAACAGCGAGTGAGAACAACAAGCAAAAGAATCCCAGAAGGGGCGTCTGCGTCGTTTGGTGTGTGGCGACACCATGAACCCTAGCTAAAGAATTGGAGGGGTAAGGCTGATTGAAATTTGAAGGCCCCCGGCAGAGGCAACACAGACCTTTGGCCCCTGCTTCATGTAGACGGCACCCTGGGCTTAGTTACCTGGCGGAAATGGGCAGTTACCTTTTTCTATCTCTTTATCTCCTCACATCTTTCTCTTTCTCTCCTACATTATATCTGTCGTGTCATCTTGTTTCTTCAATTTACTTCCGTATTTCCTGGCGACGAGTGTTAACCCGGGGCAGCTATTCAACCTTGGGTAATTATATTAGGTTAGAGCAGTGATGCGTGGCTTCCGTCCCCAAGTGTTTGCAGTTCAACCTAGTAGCGTCCCCTTGTTCGGCTCAGTGGTCGGTGGTCAAGAGCACATCTCCGCATGGCAAACCTTTTGCCTCTTTTCCTAATTGCTTCCTCAAGATGTGGCAATTCGATGAAGTAATTACCGTAAGCAAGCCAAAGCAGACCTTCTCGAATATAAAGTCACCTATAGCCAAAAGGAAAATAAGAAAGTCCGACCGATTTCACTTTTCCTCGTATAAAAAACAGTTACAGAAGAAATTGGTGCAAGTTACAAAAACATAAGCAAAGGAAGTGGAGACCTCATTTTGGAAGTCCGAGACAAGACACCATATTGTCACGGGGTCGTGACGTGGCCGAAGACAGGAGACTTCGTGTTGGGATTTAACTGTTTATTTGGGCGAACCTGTGCCCGGTAAACGGAAAGTCCAATTACAGCAGCAGTCTCGCACAGATAGCAGTCTCGGACTGATAGCGGGGAACGGAGCGTCGGCCTTAGATCAACAACTGACAAGCGGGGAAGCGCGTCGGCATTTATACTCCCGCCGTCGAATGTTCTAGCGCTACCGCTGGCGGCGGCGTACGTTCCAGAACAATCTGTACCATTCGCACAGTGGGCGTGATCTTATCGAAATGATCTACTACAGTCCGGAACCCTCTCGAAAACTGCGGGCGCGGTTTGCGCTGAGAATCGTGTGGTGTTTTGGGACGATAACAAAAGCTTGGGAAATGGAACGTGGCATTGCCCCCTTCTGAAAAAGGCATCGTCTCGTTGCTTTAACTAAAGATGAAGGTACAATATTAATGCAAGAAAGTACAATGAATAAATTACAATTCAACAATAATACAAAAAAAGCACTGTTTCAGTTTGTTAACGCGCATGAAACGGCTTTAGGCGTGCGACATGGACGACTTCAGGTCGCGATCGGCGTCGTTGAGAGTTCGTGATGCCGTCGGGGACAACCTCGTAATCAAGTGGGCCGAGACGTCGAACCACCCTGTACGGTCCGAAGTACCATCGCAGAAGCTGTCTGGCGACGGAAGTGCGACGGGGCGGCGTTTTGGCGAGGACGGGGAGGAGCGTTGTGGCGCACTGCAGCAGCGTAGCTCATAGTTTCAGGCTCGGGCAGCGGTGTATGGGGAATTCGAAGTGATTGCCGAACTTCTTCTCGCACAATGTCGGCGATCGAATCCACTTGAGGTTGCGCCGAAGGCAACAGTTTGCGCAGCTCTTCCCGCACGATCGCTCGGATCGTTTCACGCAGGTTTCCGGAGTCACTGGTTTGAGCAGCAGCGCATTCTGGAGTCAGGCGACGATTATACTGTCTGGTGCACATGTCAAGGGTTTTTTGGATGGTGGTCGCCTCAGATACAAATTCTTGGACGGTGTTCGGTGGATTCCTCATTAGTCCCGCGAAGAGCTCCTGTTTGACCCCTCGCATGAGGAAACGAACTTTCTTCTCCTCAGGCATGTCTGGGTCAGCGTGACGAAATAGGCGGGTCATCTCCTCTGTGAAAATTCCATCCTCATTCGGTAGCTGAACCCGGGTCTCTAGTTGAGCAGCGGCCCTTTCTTTGCGAGC